ACTTTGACTTCAATTGCAATCAGGTTCCTGGTCCAAAAGTAACGACACCGGGACACACCAGGGTCAGGAAGGTTCTCGTGCCAATGTGTGGCCCTCAGAGGTGGACACTTCAAGTACCCACAAACACTCCCAAGCTAGAGAGTTTGCTGACTGTCCATCCCACTAATATGACCTACCTAATAGGCAATGAGTCCCTGCTACAATAGCTACCTAATTCCTATAACAACTGAGTTGCAGCTATATTTTTTTTAGCTTTAAATTTTTTTTTATAGCACAAGCAAGGATACTGCTATATCTCCGAACTCTGATACAACTACTTTAGTTTCTTTTCCTTGGCTATAAAAGTGTTATTTTGCATTAAGTTGAATAATTAACTGGAGTGTCTTCCCAAACTCACATCTAGACCCAGTGGCGTACTAGCATCTGATCAGCACGTACACAGTCTAATCAACGTACACTTGCCAGCGTTGTTATACCTCTAGTATATCACTCTAGTGCACCGTCTTCATCAATCAATCATAGCTCAATTTCGTTATAGTCTACAGTTATGTATGGTCTAATATAAAAAAATGTTAGTGCATATTTCCCACAAACTTAATATCCTACCGATCAACTTGCACTGCTATTTTTGTTTCTCATATATTTCTGTTTTCTTTCATTTAAAAAAAACAAACAAAAAACCCTACTCCCGAAACTAATCCGATCAAGTTGGCTTCATTCCCATGAGACAAGCGGGAGATAACACGAGACGCACCCTGGATCTTATGTGGGTAGCCCACACCAGACGAATCCCTACACTGCTACTATCAATGGATGACGAAAAGGCATTCAACCGCTTGTTGTGGCCATTCTATATCGCTACGCTAAGAAAATTCAGATTCCCAACAACCATAATCACGGCCCTGACCACCCTTTATAACTATCCCACAGCCACGCACCTCGTCCCCAATGCACCACACCCTAACTTCACAATCAAAAACGGAACGAGATAGGGATGCCCATTATCCCCCCTCCTATTCGCCTTCTCCCTCGAACCCCTACTCCAGAACATACGCAACAACCAAACAATAAAAGGACTGACAATCAGGAACGACTAATATAAAATAGCGGCATATGCCGATGACATCTTTCTGACCGTCACTGACCCGGAACACTCCCTGCCCCGCTACTCACAATCTTACAGGACTATGCCCGAATCTCAGAATAAAAATTAAACCTGGATAAGACAGTAGCCCTCCCATTGGAAATTCTGCAACTATCTTTAGACCACATAAACCCATTCACCTACAAAACGCAGAGCATCCAATACCTAGGCACACACCTACCTGCAGACCTAAGACATACGCTCTAAATTACACCCCACTAATACATCAATCACAACTCTATTTACAGAGGTGGCGCCTCATGTCCATATCTTAGCTAGGAAGGGTGGCTACAATTAAGATGAACCTTCTCCCCCGATTCCTGTACCTATTTCAAGCACTACCGATCCCCATATCCAAACACGACTTCAAAAAGCTCCAAACCAAAATAGACTAATTTATCTGGTCGAACAAAAGACCAAAAATAAAAAGAGCCACGATGTATAAAACTACTCGAAACGGAAGAAGCAAGAAGCAAGCCTATAAGACACTACTCCGCTGGTATCTTACACCCCTAAGACTCAAGCAAATAGGCCTTAGGGATACAGACTCCTGCTGGAAGGGGTGCGGCCTTAAGGGCCACATATATCACAGTTCTGGGGACAAGTAGCCAACCTGGCAACCGAGATACTACACACAGACATACCCCTCAACCCCTGGATTTGGCTGCTTTACAAACCCCATACCCCTCTAATCAGAGCCCAGAACAAACTGGTGGCGAAATTGGCACTCTCCGCCAGACGCACAATAGCAGAACAATGGGGTAACTAAAACATACCCCTCCTACCAACCATGATCACCAAAATCTCAGATATAATGGAAATGGATAGACTGTCAGCGCTACTGCATGATACAACACAAAACTATCACAAAATCTGGGACCCATGGATCCTGAGAAACACACTTGGGTTATGAGCGGAGGGACCGGGAGAAGGATGCCATAGGCCTCCCCCTGGATATGGAAGGGACCACATCTTCCCTTCACACAAAGATCCCACCCTGGACCCTACACACCCCATCCCTACTTAACCCCCCCATCCTGATCACCAACAAGACACCTACACAGAGACAAAATACCCAAACCACACACGAGTAATGCCAAGCACTGGCACTAACCCACAGTTTCACAAAGGCAAGATCGATACCCCCCCATAACTCCCAAGCTCACCATACAAATCCCAGAAAAGGGGACACTAGCCCCAAATAGTACAGATCTGTCACAAACCCAAAACATATACGACACCCTTCAAACTGTGGAAAATCAAGCACACCCCTAACAACCATACCCACCGCTAACACCCTCACAACCAATTATCTCTTTTACCAACAAACCCTCAAGGAGAAAACACACAGCAACCTCACAAATTGACCAAGAACAGACATAACACTACAGACACTGCTTCACTGTTAGTAGACCCATTCGGGACACACACAACTGTACCACCAAGAGAACAAGAACAGCATGTATTGACCAAATATATATTCTGCAATGGAGAGGTACTAAAAGCGAAAGAATTTTGTGAAAACTCGTGTGGTAATCACTCTTTCCCCTAATTTCTTAATTTTGTGTCCCAAAACACCCTGTACTATAACCGGAAAATAAAGAATTTAAAAAATAAAAATAAAAAAAGTGCTGATTTCTATGTCATACTTTAAAGGGACACTCCATGCACCCAGAGCACTTCTGCACATTGGAGTGTTCTGGGTGCCAACTCCCATCATCCTTAACCCTGCAAGGTAATTATTGCCATTTTTATAAATGGCAATAATTACCTTGCAGGGTTAAGTCCTCCTCTAGTGGCTGTCTATCAGACAGCCACTAGAGGGACTTCCGGATTCTTAAACAACTTTTTGGTTGCTTAAATGACGCTGGACGTCCTCACGCTATGCATGAGGACATCCAGGGTCGCCGCAATCCCCATAGGAAAGCATTTAATAATGCTTTCCTATGGGGAGGACTAATGCGCGCAAGCAGTCATTGCCATGCATGCGCATTAGGTCTTCCCCGCTGGCGGATTTCAGCGTGCTAAGAGTGTGGGCGAGCCTGACCCAGCACCGAAGGACATTGGCGCTGGATTCAGGTAAGAGTTTGGTGTTTTAACCCCTTGAACAACATGGGATGGGGCGCAGGAAGGAGGGGGACACTGTAGGATTCTCTAGTGCAAGGAAAACTGGCTTGTTTTCCTGGCACTGGAGTCCCTTTAAAAGAAATTGACAGGTCGTATTAGGTTAAACGTTTCAATGTCTAGTGTTTAATTTTTGTTATTCACATAAAAAAAAAAAATGAAATTTTTAGTGCAGAGACAGTGCCAAGCTACTATCAGGTACTATAACCAATGAAATTAGATTAAATGGTTATAGTGTCCATCATGTCTCTCCCCCCCCCCCCCTTCATCCTCATTGCCTCAACAACCAAACAAAAGGTTTTGCAACATAGTCTGCAGACAAGTAAGGTCCTCTTCAATCAGGACTGAAATCTATGGTGGAAAGACTTCTCTGGATTTAGGCAGCCTACATTGCTTCTCTCTCTACATGTAATTTCCAGACAGACTCAATGATGTTGAGATAAAGTGGTCTGCATGACTAGTGTTCATGTGTGTAAGTATTCTTACTTCAGAGTATTTTAACACATTTGCACAGGAGTGGATTATACCATGTGATATACAGAAAATAAGAGATTACTGTATAAGCATAGTCTCTCGATGGAGCAGCTACAGCCTAGTGTACAGCATCCGTAAATTGCACTCTGGCTAGCATTACTTCTTAAAACCACTTCATGAAACTTTCCATTACTTTTACGGTTTCAGGAGAGAAAAAGGGAATGATGAAGTAAGTGGAGGGTTTTCCTCCTGCCCACCTAATTAGAAGAGACTAACAACCTTGCATAATTTATGGTGCTATGGGGACCACAAGCCCACATTGCTTCCTTTTTCATTGAATTAGCATTGATTAGCAAAAGTTATTTTAGCTATAACCATACCTCTTACTCACATATCAAGGCTATGGACAGGCATATGATATAGAAGGCTGACCTCCATGGAGATGCTTTCAGTGCTCCTCAACCCTCTCCTTCAAGGCACACCTAACAGACCAGGATTTAGGGATAACCTGGGTGTGTCTAAAGGTGTTTAAAAAAAGGAAACAAACCTTACTCCAATGTGTTTTTAAGTTTTGCTTTTAGAAACACCTTAGACACACCCAGGTAATCCCTAAATCCTGGACTGTTAGGTGTGCCCTGAGGAGCAGCTCCTTTGTAGTGCTCTAGGAGAGCGATGATGCTCTGTGTTAGCAGTCATTGCTATGGTGCTCAAAAAACAGATCCAATACTACCAAGCATACTTATGGTTTAAAATTGATAAATGGAAAAAAATGTTTTCTGGCACAAATTCTCTTACGTATTACACTGGTGGTGATAATAGGGTCTGTTAAACTTGCAGAGCAGAATGCTATAATGTAAACAATATGTAAAATATATTGTGAGAGAAGAGAGTTTTGTATTGCGTTAGGGCTGCAAGTATGCATCATGAAGAACAGTCAGAACAGACCAGGTCATCAGGAAGACATGGACATTACACTCCAGAATGGCATAATTCCAATAAGTTATCTATAAATAGACCAAATTGGACTAGAGTAACAAATCATACCGAAATTAAACCAGGAATTCAAGCTTGATAGTTTAAAAAAAAAAAAAAAAAAAAGTGGTGGTGGAGATACAATACATCAAAATGTTTTAAAGTAGCGTATTCTTTGGTGAAAGTCCTGGTTTACATTAAAGCAACCGAACATCTAAAAATCCTACTATTTCAAATAAAATATCAAGAATATGAACGAACAGTAAATTTCTGGAGCGTAAAGAAGCCAATTCCAAACATTTTACCATTTTATTGAGAAAAAGAATAGTACAAACAAAGCATTAAATAGCAACAACATTATATTATGTGTCTCCTTGCTGTATAAATTTGGATACTCTGATTAGCCACACACACCACTCTTCTCCCTTAAAAGGAAGATTAAAAATAAATATTTTTATTGCTAGTTTTGCTTGCTCTCTGCAACCCTACTTAAAAAAAAAATAATAATAATAAATTAAAACGTTTGGTGTCATTATGCTCTGGATGACACAACCAAGCTTCAATACCTTAAAGGGACAGAGCCGGTCTCTAAAGGCTCAGCAGTATATATACACTGACTTTTCTGAGATAGAGGCAGTGTTTACATAGCTACCTAATGTCACCTCTAGTGGCTCACTTTGACAGCCATTTTAACCACTTCCCGGGCAAGGTTCTGGCAAGACTGCATGTCTGATATTCAGTCTCCACGCTCTGCAATGACGCAATGCATGGAGATGGTGAGCGGTGCAGAGACTGCTGTGCATGAGCATTAGCCCCCAACAATGCTTTATTACACTGTGTGTTCTCTGAAAAGGTTTTGAATTCCCAGTGTAAAGTGACCGCATCGGTGCACCAAAACCACTGCATTAAAATGTAGTGGTTTTGGTGCTTAGAGTGTCCCTTTAATAAACTCAAAAGATTTTGTTGGCTCAAGGTTACGTAACTTACACATTAATCCTGCC